GAGAGAAGTATCAATGCTTCTTTTATTACTATTGTGCCTAAGAAAGAAGGTGCATCTTCTATCAGTGATTACAGGCCTATTAGTCTTGTGGGGAGCATTTACAAGATTATTTCTAAACTGCTTTCCAATAGACTCAAGAAGGTTCTTGATGTGTTTGTTTCGTCCTCCCAGAATGCGTTTGTGGAAGGTAGGCAGATCCTGGATGCCGCTTTGGTGGAAAATGAACTTGTAGACTCCAGAAGGAAAAATAGAGATCCCGGCTTACTATGCAAGTTAGACCTTGAGAAGGCTTTCGATCATGTCAATTGGGAGTTCCTGGATTTTATTATGATGCGAATTGGGTTTGGGGTAAGATGGAGGGGATGGATCAAGTTCTGCATTTCCTCAGTCAGATTCTCTGTCTTGGTTAATGGTAGCCCGTGTGGTTTCTTTAGCAGCTCTTGCGGGCCTCAGGCAAGGAGACCCCTTATCCCCCATGCTATTCATTCTAGTGATGGATGCTTTGAGTAAAATGATGGATCGAGCGGCGGGCGGAGGCTTCTTGAGAGGATTCTCAGCTCTGATCGGGGTGCCTAGTGCCCGAAGAGTCTCTCATTTGCTTTTTGCGGATGACCCCCTAGTTTTCTGTGATGCCGATATGGATTAGTTGACCTACCTGAAGCAGGTCCTGCAGTGGTTTCAGATAGTATTAGGTCTCAAAATCAACCTCGGCAAGTGTGAGATTTTCTCGGTGGGTGAGGTTGTTAACATCGATACTTTGTCTTATGTTCTCAAATGTAAGGTGGGCTCCCTTCCCATTACTTACCTGGGTTTCCCATTGGGCGCTTCGTATAAAGATACTACGATTTGGAATCCAGTGATCGAAAGGGTTGAAAAAAGATTAGCAGGCTGGCAGAAACGGTACTTGTCAAAAGGCGGAAAGGAAGTGCTCATTAAAAGCACTTTATCGAGTATGCCCACCTATTACTTGTCCCTGTTGCAAGCTCCTGTGAGCATCACAGAAAAATTGGAGCGGTTTCAAAGGAATTTTCTTTGGGATGCAGCGGATGGAACTAGAAAGTATCATCTAGTGAATTGGCAAACAGTCACTTCCCCAAAGAAGTGAGGTGGACTTGGTGTAAAAGATCTTAGGGTATTCAACAGAGCTTTGTTGGGGAAATGGCTGTGGAGATTCGGGGTAGAAGAGCATGCTCTATGGAGGGAGGTCACAGTAGAAAAGTACGAGTCCACGGGAGGGGGTTGGAGGACCAAGGCAATCACAACATCTTTCGGGTGTGGCATGTGGAGGAGCATCATGAAGAATTGGGAATCCTTCAGTGGCAACATCTCTTATAAGTGGGAGATGGAGGGAGATGGAAGGAGAATCAGCTTTTGGAATCATAGGTGGTGTGGAGAGGATACTCTGAGGGTCTCCTTTCCCCACGTCTTCAGAGTTTCAAACCAGAAGGAATTGATGGTCCAACAGATTCGTAAGGAGCATGTATGGGGGTAGTATGAGACCTCTCATTTAGAAGGAACATGCAAGATTGGGAGATTGCGGAGCTCCAAGATTTATTGACACTGCTATATGGGCAAGACAGGCCTCAGCCATCTTGTGATTCTTGGAGATAGGGTTTGTATGGCGATGGTCTGTTCACCGTAAAGTCCTTTTACCAGATTATGATGGTGAGAGAGGAGGCCTCTTTTCCATACTCCTCGATCTAGATTCCTAAGGCGCCCACGAAGGTGTGCTTTTTTGCATGGCTAGCGGCGAGGGGAGTGATTTTGACTGCTGAGAATTTGCGAAAGAGGGGAATTACACTTGTTAGTTGGTGCTATATGTGTAAAAGCTCAGGGGAAGAAGTTGATCATCTTTTGTTGCATTGCCCTGTGTCCTCGGCTTTGTGGAGGGCGATCCTGAACCTTTTTGGTGTTCAATGGGTGATGCCAAGCATTGTAAAGGAAATGCTATATAGCTGGGCCGGTTTTCGTAGAAGAAGAAAGCAAAAGGCGTGGAAGTTCACCCCGTTAGCTCTCATGTGGATAGTTTGGGGGGAGAGAAATAGGCGAGCTTTTGAGGGGATTGAGTCTCCTTTTTCACATCTTAAGAATAGTCTTTTATCGCTTTTTGGTGCACTCATATAGCCCCTATTTGTATAGAAGATTGGGCGTCTTTTGTAGAGAATCATGTTCTAATAAATTCTCTACTTTTTGGTATACTTTTTGTATACGGAAGTTCTCTCCCTTTTGTTTAATACAATTTACCTTATCAAAAAAACAATAAATATTTACATGAAAGCATTTTAAGTACAAGGCATTTAATTTCTTGTCAAATCATGTAATCCAATTTCGGTAACGATAATCATATCTCAAGTAATAGTAAAACATGTTTAGTAATAGTGAGAATATTTCAAATAACTGAACCTCTCAAGTAAACTATTCAATACCATATCAAGTAAAGGACTTGTCCCACATGCAATTTCAAATATTTGGTAACACATTTTATTTTCAAAATAATGTATAAACCATGCAGGTTATGTAAACACAAATTGCGGTAAGATTACTACTCATCGTACTCGTGTCGAAATACCAAACTCGTCGCCACGAGCGATCTGTACGAATTTCTTCAATCAATATATAATCACATCAATATCGATCTCGTTTTAATTTCTCTGTTTAAGCTATTTCATAGCTAAATTTAGATGCCAAATCCTCAGATTTTTATGTTCTATCATCAATTCGCTGAGTTATATTTATCCATGCTCTGAGTAATTCAACTAGTCTATAATCTATCAATTTCAACTTACTCGTATATTTGTTCTTCAATTTTCTTTTACCCAAATTATGCCAACTATGTGTATAGATCTTAGATCATATAGGAATATAGGATCACTATCGACAATACTTTCTTTCGTACCTAACAAAATTATATACAACCAGATGATAATCTTAAGCAACTGAAGTAAGAAAGTTTATCCTTTGAATTAAGTTTGTTTCTATGTCTGTTCCCATATTTAATTCATACTACTACATACAAAGGCATTATGAATTTGAATTGTTTCAAAAAAAAAAATCAACGTTACAAAGTGTCTTCAGGCACTCATGATTCTTCCACAAAGTGCTATGAGTTAAGAGAAGCATTGCTTAATCTTTTCTTGCTTCTAATTATATTAGTCAATCTCACTATATTAACTCAAATTATTAAATTTATATACTCTGATATTAGTAAAACAAAATATATTAATACTATATTACCTATTTTTCAAAGTTTGGTTCCAGCCTCTTTCTTCTTCTCTTCATTGCATTTTTGTTTTTCCCTTTTTCTATAGCTTCTGTTGCAGCAGCTTAGCCTTGCTTTCCCTTCCACCAAATCCCCTTTTTTTTCTTCTTTTCGTTCAATGGGCTTTTGCCCCTTTTATTAACTGATTAGGTTTTCCTTTTCTTTTTGTTTTTGTTTCTTTTTTTTTTTAGTGATGTTAAAAGACCAACATACCCTAACTTAAATATGGGTCATTACAACTAGCTTGCTGAAAAAGTGCATAGCCATGTTCTAGAGCTGCAAAATGCGCCGGTCCTTATTTGTGATGCTATCATGATTACATATGTTAAAAGGGAACGAGGTGAACCTGAAATCACATGGAGGGAAATTGTCCTTAAAGATGTAGAATCTCTTGGAACCCAAGCGAACTTAATGAAGAACAAAACATGACAGAGGTAAAAGGTTCTTATAGGTGATATTAATAGATAGGATTAAAGCCTGGTTTTGTCGGTACACATACCTAAAGTCCAGTGTTTACTCGGAGTCTTTTTAGTTTGTTTAGAAATTTGAATGTCAGCATGAGTTGTTCAGGAAATCTAGTGATAAGGACCCTAAGCTGTCTTAAATTACAAATTATTGAGTATTCGAATGAAACAAGTCCAAAATGGGATGGGTGAATATGGATGATTCATATAGACGAACACAACTAGTTCGGTATTAAGGTGTAATTTCTGTTGTAGTAGTAGCGTATATCCTGTCATGTTTACTGTATCCTAGTGTAGAAGATGCTCACAGTAAGTACATTAGGTGTGCGTTGAGCTTTTAGGCATATCATGGAGTTGGTGATGATTTTAGTTTATTATTATGCACTTATCACCTCTGCTGCATTAAGGTTGAATCATGTGGCATCCTAATCTTTTAGAAAGTATTTCTTGCTCGGAAGCCTAAATGCAACTATTCAAGCTGGAATATCATAAATATTACAATTGCTCTAGATTTTTTATTAAAATGTTAATTTGTGCTTTGTCTAATCTCTCAGTTCTATTAGTCTATACCTGCTAATGGAGCAGTATATATATGTGTGAATGGGCTCCAGCATAGTTTAGTTCTTAATGCTTCACTATACCTTTTTAATCAAGCTTTCAAGATATGTTTTGCGTAGCGGCATGACCCTCCTCCCTATGTGGGGAGGGGGCTCAACTTGTGAGGTTCCTCAGCTTTCAGATTGGCATGAAATGCTGGATGACCCAGCCCGGCTTGACTTGAACAAGATCGTCATGGCAGGAGTTTGGATTTCTTCAGCTTCTTATTTTGTTGCTTTTTATGACATTTGCCATTTAGTGTAGTGTTGTGAAGTTATTCAATTCTATGTGCTGTAGTATATATGGAAATTTGGTTTTACTTATATGAATATATTTATTCCAATCTCTTATTTGTTTATTAGTTTAGGAAAACCTTATTTAGTGTACTCTTGATGCTCTTGTGCGATAATACATGGACGGTGAGCTCCACTGTTTATTTTGCAATGGAAAGACCAGTTCTCGAGAAGTTGGTATTGGGCTGAGTTAATTTGCATTAGAAGAAGATAAAAGATATAACCTTTTGATGCTCTCTAACTCGTTGATCTCTTCTCTGCTCAATGCATTTGCTTATGCGTACAAATTGATGTCTGTCTGTCTCCTCTGTGTATGAACATAACATGGACATATTTATGCACACATCATATATTTGATACTTTTTGCTTAACTCTTTGATTGTTTAGTCAAGGAGAGATTATGAGAAGCAAGTGGCTGATGAAGAAGCTGAGCAGCTGCGAAGTTTTCAAGTAATTTAGTGTCATTGTTCAACGTCATTGCCTAGAAGTTTGCTTTATGGCCTATGAAGAATGCTGATCTTACTCTTGGGTTTTTTAGGCTGCTGTTGCTGCACAGTCAACCATTGTACAGGAAATCAAGGAGATGCCTCCTGTTCCGAAAGTCCAGGTTAGTCTCAATAGCTGGATCTGCCTTGAGAAAAGCACTGTATTTTTGGTGTTCATGGCTTTTTGTTTCTTAGCCACTGCTTTATCAGCATCTCGCCCGATGTTGGAAATTGTCTGCCTTTACTTCTGCTGTGTGGCCGCATATTTATATGAGATGGCTTTATATGGTCAAATGATATTACATGTGTGATGCACTAATACCAAAATGGTTCTTGGCCTTTAGTCTAAGATATATTGGCAAGTTACCTCTTTTTAATGATTTCATACACGTCTCTCTAAAATGAATACCTGTACTTCATAGCACTAAACTTTCAGATAAACGTTGAAAAATTGCAAAGCTAGGTAGTCAGGCTGGCGTTTCGTTTCACTTAAAGGGTGCTTCAGTGCATGTCTCGTCATCCATGGGTTCTGTAGAGCATCACTAGATATAGTTGGCAAGGTAAAAAGAAAAAGAAAATTGTAGATTTACTACTACACTAGAAAGCTAGTTACTATATCTTAATTAGAAAGTTACTGCATATTTGCATCTGAATCATAAATTTAAATGGTTTTTGAACTTGAAGGAGGTGATTTTTTACTTTCTATATTCACTTTTTCGTATAATTATAAAGTACTACTTGTTATATTCACTTAATTGTGGTGTTTTTGTTAATCCAATGTTGATATCATTTAGTTTGTGTTTTTATTTGTTTTTTTTTCATGCATTACATGTATATTTAAAAGAAAAAAAAAATTCATTAGCCTTTCTTTGTTGAAGTCCCCGCTTTAATTGGGCTCTGCACTTACAGCCCCATTAGACCTTTGGGCTTTCCTATGTTTTCCCCTTAGGCAACAGAGGAGGTGTCTGGATTTGTACCAATTACGTATCTAAAGAGAAAAGGTGGAGAACGTCCAATTGTGCTTCAAATTTCCGGATTTGTACCAATTACGTATCTAAAGAGAAAACACGGAGAACGTCCAATTGTGCTTCAAATTCTTAATACTCCATAATTCCCCTCCTTTGTTCAGCTCCTTTTCTGTACCACAATCATCTATAACTTGGTTGATTTTTTTTTTTGGCCTCCATGGTTATTCTATTTTCTTTTTCTTATTCATTCTTTTCTCTCTCTTGTTTTTATGTTCATGATTTGGCTTAAATGGTCAAAATCAAGAAGTAACAATGATTCATTGGGTTTCAGGAAGGATGTTGCTAAAAAATTAATTTGCTGGCACAGATGCAGAAAGTAGTATCTGATTACCTTTGTTCGTAATATAAAATAGTAAAGTTAAGAGGCTTAGGAAAAAAGTCAAAATCCCAGGATGAAAGGCAAGCAATTTCTTTTTAAAGATGGAAATCTTGTGACTATACTAGTTGGTACCAGTGATAAAGTGATGCCGTCTGCACCACACAACAAAACCACCTTAACAAAAAAGTTGAAGAAATCAAAACAATTGCAGGCGATTAAGCTGGTTAATCAGTGAAAAGAAGAAGAATTGTTGGCTTGGAACTAGGAGGAAAGAAGAATAACATGCTGCAACAGCTAATTTACTAGCAAAAACTTGAGAAGCCTGTGAACGAACTATTCAAGATTCAATTAATTAAATTTAGAAGCTAAAACTTAAGCTTTGCAGCTTTGCTATCAATAGGTTTTAGCAAGCGTATGCAATGCAACCCTATCAGGCCTCACCCATAATATCAAATGGCAATGAAGATCCCTAAACAATTGAAAAGCTGCAATCTTATATTTGGAGAGTAATTTAGGTCTATTAAGTTCCAAGATGGAATTTTACTTATCCAATTATTGAGGGACTTCTGATGCTCTCTGTTTATATAGTATTCTTTCTATTCGTCTTAGCAGGGGCGACTCAACAAACTTGGTGGCCTAAAGCCAAAAATATTAAAAGGCCCTTAACTTCTTTCATAAAAACATAAACTTGTGAGACAAAAAAAATCTATATGACTTGGGTCTAGTGGTAAGGGCGCAACACATTATGTGCGGGTTAAGCGCTCGTCGCAGTTTTAAATTTTTCCGAAGATAAAAACATGGTATTTAAGTGAAAAAGAATAGATGAATGGGTCCATTATATACCGAGGTTCGAACTTTGCGCGACTTGCCCTCGAAGATTTATTAGTTTAAAAATATGAGAGACAAGATAACTTGCTTTGTGATGTATGGATCAATTAAATATGACAAAAATAAATAGCTAATTCAGAGAAACTGAGTTGAAGTTGAAAATTAAAATCGTCATGAACATATAAAAGAAGAGTGTAAATAGAGGAAGAAAACTAGAATTGATAAGAAGCTAAATACACTATGAGTATTTAATTTAACGAGAGAGAATTTATCGTTATTTACTCACTCACCCATCAACCTCAATCAAATAAAAAAAATACTAAAATTTGAAAGTATTATTAATAATAATTACATAAAATTATATATAGCATAATATTAATACAATGCTTATTTTTGGGGCCTTAATATTTGGTGGCCTAAGACAATGGCTTCACTTGCCTTACCTTAGAGCCGCACCTGTGTCTTAGTAGAATTTCTTGTATTACGAAGAGTTGCCATTGACCACCGAAACCAAAGGAAGGGAGCACAGTGAATATCTCTTGTTCCAGCCTTTTCATGATCCAACTGAGTCAGTGTTAGCACTTGGTAGGCATGAATTGGAGATCAAACCCGTTTTTCCTTCCCTTTCCTTTTTTTTCTTCTTTTGTTGTACATCACCTTTCTGATATATGGACTAAACAGATCATTTATTGATAGCGTAAAGTTGATTTACATTTGATTCACCTTCTCGGGGCTCCTGTCTCATTCTCTTTACTCTTGTTGCATGTTTCTGTTCATCTCTTCCTTCACATTCTCTTGTATCTAATCCTGCATCTAGTTCTCAGTTTACATATTATGTGCTTACAGCTCTTTCTCGATTAAATGTTTTTGTTTAGTGCTAAAGCAAGCTTCGTTAAGCTGTCAACTTTTGCAAACAGGAATTTTTGCTTTTCTAATGAGGCTTTACCTAAATTCCTAAAGTTGCCTTTTTCTATCAATTTTAGATGAATGGTTGGTTTTGCTGCATATTTCTATATTTCACATTCTCCTTTTGGACATAAGTTCCTGTTTAATACGATAAACAAATGGACTTCTGTGTCATTCTACTCTCTCTAACTGTGCCATTCTACAAGGGAAAGGGGACTACTGTTACATGACCAATTTGGGATGATAATTGGCATTGAATTCTGTGTGGTGTATATCAGTATCGTTAAGAAACAATATTTGGCAAGACGCAAGTCACGTGTTACTAGTTTCCTTAATGAAAATGGAGGATAAAACTTATAAATCCCTATTTTGGTATATGTGTCTGGCCCTGGTCGCGGTATCTTTTGGTTTTCATTGGATTGTTGGTTGATGCAGGAACCGACATTAATTAGGAGGAAGAGTCGTCCACCTAATCCATTGGGAACGATTATCAAAGTCAAGCCACAAGCAAAGAAAGCAAAGATGGATCCAGAAACTTCAGGTGATTCTTTAACAGCTATCAAAGTGTCTAATGATGATAACAAACAGCCTTCATCAGATATTCATAATGTATCCAAATATGAGACAGAAGAATCCCAGAGATTTGTGAAAGGACCTATTGCCGATAATGAAAACCGTGAACCAGTTACAATAGGTGGTTTGGTTTCCTATAGTGATGAAAGTGATGATGATTGATTGTGTCATCTTGATATGTTAATTATAATTTGCGTTAGTTTAATCAAATTTCCAGTTTCTCATCATCTATGGATGATATGTTCTTGCTTTTCCGTTCCATCAAGTTGATTGGTTTCATTAACATTCTCTCCTTGATAGCCCTATGGCTTAATGTTGTCTTTTCTTTTCCTTTTCTTCAGTTTTCTAATTGAATCCCTTGCAGGACAGCTGGGGATTTGGCTCTCTGTCTTAATAGTTTGACATGATTGGTTGATGGAGAATCAAAAGTAGATTTGTATATGAATCACGAAGTATTTCTAAATTTATTCAGAAGTAATTACAAGATCATGCGCCTTTTCTGGTTGTAACAGAAATAGGTATAACTGGCAGGTCAAGCCTATGCTTGAAATTAACAGCTAGCAATAACGTAAAAGAGATGCAAGAAGACAATCTTTCGTCTCTCTTAAGGGAATCGAATGATTATGTTGGTACGAAGCTTGTTATTAAGGAGGAATTCTTGAAAAAAATGTACAAGAAGAATGGAAATAATTAAAATGCAAAAAAGAAGTAAGAAGCATGCAGAAAAGAGAACATGAGTTTAGTAGTATGGTTTTAAATAGTGTTGTCATACTCGGTTAGGTTTTTGCTTTTTTGGAGTAGGGATGAAGCCAATGAGTTAGGTTAGGATTTTGTACTCTTCTTAGAACATAACAAATGTACCATTGTAATTATCCAAAATTTTGGGTTGTTAAGGCTGTGCTGCTGTAGGAAATGGCCAATTAAATAGCTGGACACCGGCCACGTAGTTGCTCTGTCCTATTTTTCTTGGGGATAGACTTTAAACTCCGTTTATTTTTTGTGAAAATACTTTCATTCGATCTAATATAATTTGATTAACTAGAACTCCCTCTGTTGAGTTACGTTTCTCCAACAAACATAGTGTGATTGTATATATCCAAGGCACTGATAATACTTGTTGACAAAAAATTGAGTCATAATTTTGATACAGTTGTAAGCGGAAAACGAATCATAAGGCACACAAATACAAATTAGTTAACATAATCACATATTATTTCTCACAAGCATACAAATTAATTAATACGCTTTTGATAGCAGGAGACATAAATTAATTAGAGGATCATCAATTTCCTTTGTTCATCATGTTAAGAAAGGAAGGGAGATGTTGGGCGTGGACGCACCAGGTCATAAGCCGAATGCCATTTTGGGGCAGAGGTTGTTTGCTAACAATTCCCACAGGTATAACAGCAGATCCTTGTACTGGTATCACATGTACAGGTTTTCCCCATCCATAGTCAACCTCGTTAAATCCCAGTCTTCCCCATTCTGAAATAAACAGTGTGTCGTAACCTACTCCAGGGCCCGGGGCAAATGGATCATTTTGATCCTCATTCACAGATTTGTAGGTCTTGTTATTAAGCCATTGTGAGAATTCTGCTGGTAGTTTAGCCTTGGCATCTTTGATCAGCTTCACCACCTCAGCAAGAGATGCTTGTGCCACAATTTTGTTCGATGCCTTTACTGTCACTGGGAAGAAACAGTTCCCGTAGAATCCATCCGGTAGCGGCACCAGTTGCCGACAATTAGCGAAAAACACCAGCTTCACTTCGTCATCACCTGCATCATTAGTGGCGACTCCAGTAATTTTGCTAAGAGTATTCAGGATTTAATATTGTATATGAATAAAAAGTAATATTTGACCTATATATTCCTTTGTCTCATGCAATTCGGATTTCGAGAGTTTTTAATTTTTTCATATGCCTTTTAAACATTTTGAATCTTAATTCAAATATGTAAATTTTATTTCAAAAAAAATAATGATTTTATGTCCAAAGTTTGACTCTATATCATATAAATTGTGATGAAAGAGCATGTATAAAGTAATATTTGATCTATATAAACAGCCGACCATAGCTCCACCCCTGACCTGCATTATCTGTAGTAATAAAGCTTGAATTCGACGAGGAGGAGGAATTCTTCTCGTCGTTTGTTAGATCTAAAATTGCTCGGGTTCGCTGTTTCCACAGAGTAGCAGCTATAATTTCAAAAGAGGAACAAAATGCATTTTGACGGTCCATTAATTGATCTTGCATTACTTTGTGTTTGAGCTGATTGATCTCATCTATTGGAATATCGAAACTGGCATGCTCCAGCCTTTGATCTGGAACAGGAATAATGAAGGGTGGCGACATTGAAGAGTTGTCTTTGGTCTCATGATCTGATGCAATTAATCCTTTTTGAGCTGATGGAGTTGGGAGAAGATATTCCCTGCACCACACTGGTGTAGCGCTCAGTTTCTCGACACCCCTAGCGAATTCCCCTACTGCTTTTAGAAATTGTGCAGCTCCCAATCCATCACATATAATGTGGCAGAAAGTTAGTCCCATAACGAATCCACCACACTTAAATTCGGTTACCTGCATGTGATGATAATTGCAATATCGTTATCTAGCTAGTTTTTGAATATATATTGAAGTTGAAGATTTCTCGAGGAGTTACTCCTTGTTACTACTGCTTTCTTTTCATCTTTTCATCTTTCCTTGAGCCGGGGTCTATCGGAAACAACTTTTCTACCTTCAAGATAGGGGTAAGGTCTACGTACACATACCCTCCCCAGAACCCCACTTGTAGAATTATACGAGGTTTGTTGTTGTTGTTGTTAGCTAGTTCTTTATTACTACTAATTCCTCTGTTTAATTTCCCTAAGAAAGTAATTAGTTCCATAGTGAATCCACCACACCTATGTTTTCTAAGGAGTGTCCCCTAATGAAACATAAATAACTAATTGGATTGGATTAGTTCAGGGTATATATTACCTAAACTTGTATATATTTGACTTTTCCCTGCTTTTGGATATACATTTTTGGGGACTAAAAAAATGGAGAGGAGGTATACCTAAACCTAATAAATGATTTTCATAACCTGCTTTTGGATATATACTCTTTGGGATAAGTTTAGGTATACCTCCTTTTACTACACCGAATACTTATTGTTTAGTTACATAATACTTAATATTTTATACGATCAGATCACTCAAAGGATGTCTATAGGTAAACTTTTTTAAAATGTGAGAATTGTCATCTTACAAATAAAACAAGGTACAATAGATAAAATTAAACAACAACAATTTGAGATATATATATGAGACTAAATATATAGGTAGTAGTTTACCTGCACAAGCACCAATGGGTCCATGAAAGTATCATGACCAATAGGATGAGGAGAAGAAGAATGAAGCTGAGGTAGAAGTTTATCAAAGGTACTATCTTCCAAAGCTGCAGCTTCATCCAAGTAGTTGACATCATAAAGAGTACAATCAGCAGAAGCCTCCTCAAACCAAATGCCTTGTGCTGAACAATCAATTTGAAGAAGCTGGTTATTACTGTGCGGTGACATTTTGAGACGGCCGGCTAGAGGATAGTAAGGAACCAAAGCTTTTGAAAATGCATCCCGAATGACAGTAGCATCTCCTCCTTTAAACACGTGCAGCGTACGTGCATTGCATCGAAGGACTGCTAAACTGTCTATAACTGAGAGATGAAGCACACCATTTGGAGTTTGTCCTGAAGGTGTTACTAGATTTCCTCCTCCTCCCCTTCTCGTCACCAAAAAGCCCATGATCATCGTATATATGGAATGTTACTAAGTGATCTCTTCAAATTCAGATAAATGCTAGGATTAACAAAGATGGGCGATCCTGAGTCAAATCCTGTTTTTTCCAAAACAAACAACGGTTCAGAAAACAAAGCAAGAAAGGATATACGTTCCTACGAATAAAAAAAACCTATCAGAAAAATGGAGGTAGTCTCACCTCAATTCAATAGCAACTCATGTACTATGTTCTATGTTTTGATTGATTCTAACATAACTGCGTATTTACAGATTTATAGTGGTAGCAACAAGTAACAACGGGCTTGCTTGGTTGCGATTAAACTTGTTGCTGTTTGCTTGGCTTATAAGTCTGTGAAACTGAAACTTTGGCTTCACATTGGGGAGTAAGGCAGTAATAGATTAAGGTTTTTCTCCATTTATTTATATGTATTGGTTTCTTTCCTAGTTAGGTGACAGTACTATATTATATACATGTAACTTAGCTTTATGAATTATACTACACAGGCACGCCAAATATGCCATCTATTTTAATTTCTTGAATATTCATATTTCACTCGAATTTAGGTCCTACCATACACAACACCTAAAGAATAGTGTTTACCCTTAAAATGAGTAATAATTGAATTTATACGCGGTTTAAAGGATATATAATTTAATTTAACACGAATGAACTAAGAACAATAAATAATTGAATTAAAGAAAAACAAAGCGATCAAACCAAATGCAATGAATGATTAAGTCTAGCTTTGCAATGGACGTTTGGAAATCAGTTCCGATCAAGCCCCCGGAACAGGCTCAGTTGCAACTCAATAAACAAGCAGCTGAAGAACACTTTAAACAATAGCTAGAGAACAAAAATTAACTTTATTCCTTTGATATGCGTACCAATAGTGGTTTTAAAATATAAAAGTTCCCCCCTTTATATAGTAGGGGAGTTTCAATCCTAGTACAAGTCTAAGTAAGGTAAAGATCTTTTTCTTCCAGTAAACTACGCAGCTGATATCAAGCGAGATTTGGGTCGTATTATCCGGGTATAGGCGAATATTTCGGCCTGGCCCCTTGTTTGGTCTGTCTAACCGTTTTTCCCTTAGCCCCGGTTCTTCACTTTGCTCGAGCGCAATGCTTGCTCAAGACCGATTTCGGACACCATTCATCTGCCCTGGGTTCTGGTCTGTGGAAGCCCACGGCATTACCCGAAGCCATATCGGGTCGCAACGTCCTCTCATTTTTTTTTACCGAAAAATCTGTGGTAACTGTATACCCGAACTTACTTGTACACGGATAGTCCCCTCACTTTCCGGAGAGAAGATTTATAGAAATGACGAGAAGTGATTAACTGACCTCGGTTCCTTCCTCCGTACGCTACAATCGGGTTGACGAGTCAGCGAAATATCCCATCAGTCGCGTCATTCTGACTACAGACATGTGTCAGCCGCTGGTTGACCATCCTCGGTGGGCATCGAATGTGAAACGTCACACATTAATTATTTTCCTCCTATAAAAGCTCCGATT